TGTAGTCTAGACATAACCTTATGCATGTGCTGTCCCACCGAAGTTAGTAGGAGAGCACACATGCCTAAATCTTTGCATGGTCGGAGTCTAAGAGGTCAGTTCTGCAAGGTGCTGAACACCATGGCCCTGTGCAGGAATGTGCCCTTTGACTCCCTCAGGGGACTGATGGGCAGGATCCCCTGGGAGGCTAATATGAAGGGAAAAGGAGTCCAGGATTGCTGGCTGTGTTCTAAAGAAGCCTTATGTGCAGCAAATATGGCAGGCAATCAGCTTGGCTTAACAGAAAAATCTTCAGTTAGTTTAAACACAATCAGAAAGCTTATAAGAAGTGGAAACTGGTACAGATGACTAGGGAAGAGTATAGAAACATTTCTCACGCATATAGGAATGTAATCAGGAAGGCCAAAGCACAATTGGAATTTCAGCTAGCAAGGTATGTGAAGGGTAACAAGAAGGGTTTCTACAGGCATGTTAGCAACAAGAAGTCAGGGAAAGTGCGAGACCCTTACTTACTGAGGGTATGTCTACACTAGAGAGTTTTGTCGGAAAAACAGCTTTTTTCTGACAAAACTTGAGGAATGTCCACACTGCAATTGCATTCTTCCGCAAGAAAATAGAAAGAACAGAGGAGGTTTTCCGGCATTGATAATGCTCATTGTACGAGGAAGAAGCCTTTTTGAGAAGAGCTGCTTTGAAAAAAGGCATGTGTGAACAGGGAAGAGGGAGTTCTTTCAGAAGAAGAGGAAAGAGGAAAAAGCACAGGTGCCCTAGTGGCCATTCCGTTCATAGCAATCACTGCTTGCATGCAAGAGAGCATACATTCAGTCTGGATGCTCTCTTTCGAAAAAGCAGATCAGTGTTTCGATGCACTCTTGCAGTGTGGACGCTCTCTTTCGGAAGAAGTTTTTCCAGAAGATCTCTTCCAAAAAAAGCTTCTTCCAAAAGAAGCCTGCAGTGTAGATGTAGTCTGAGTGGGGGAAAGCAACCTGGTGACAGATAATGTGGGAAAAGTGTTTTTTTTTTGTCTCCGTCTTCACAGACAAAGTCAGCTCCCAGGCTGCTGCACTGGGTGCAGTGGTGAAAAACAGGTTAAAGACTATTTAGAAAATCTTGACATGCACAAGTTTATGGGGCCAGATCTAATGCATCCCAACATGTTGAGACAGTTGGTTGATGTGGCTGCTGGGCCATTATCTTTGAAAACTCATGGCAATCAGGGGAGGTCCCAAATAATTTGAAAAATGCAAATGTAGTGCCCATCTTTAAAAAAGGGAAGGAGGAGAATGTGGGGAACTACAGACCAGTCAGCCTCACCTTGGTCCCTGAAAAATCATGGAGGGGATCCTCCAGGAATCTATTTTGAACCAATTGTAAGAGAGGAAAATAATCATGAACGTTCAACATGGATTCACCAAGGGAAAGTTATGCATAATCAAAATAATTGCCTTCTATGATGAGATAACTGTCTCTGTGGATATGGGGAAAGTTGTGGTCATGATATATCGTGACTTTAGCAAAGCTTTTGATATCATCTTCTTGCTAGTGGTCTTCTTCCCACAGTCTTCCTGCTACTAAATTAAGGAAGTATGGGTTGGATTAATGGATTATAAAATGGATAGAAAGCTGGCTAGATTGTTGGGCTCAACAAGTAGTGATCAATGGCTCAATGTCTAGTGGGTAGTTGGTATCAAGCTGAGTGCCCCGGGTACCTGCTTTGAGCTGGGGTTCGACTAGATGACCTCTTGAGTTCTCTTCCCATCCTAATCTTTTATGACTAGCCAATCATAAAACGGGATTTTCAGGTCTCTCCTCCACCTTGGTCTTCTCTCCCGAGCCTCTAGTCTTGCTCCCTCTCTTTCTGTCTCCTCCTACTGCCTCCCCCCCCCTCCGCTCTCCTCTGCCTCTCTCTCCGTCTCTTTCTTTCTCTTCTCCCCCTCCTGCCTCTCACTCTCCCTTTCTCTTCTCCTCCTCCTCTTGCCTCTCTCTCCCCTCTGTCTCTTCCCTTTCCTTTCCTCTTCCCCTTCCCCTTCCGCCGTGACGCTCGGCTGAGTGCTGCCTGCTCAGCTGGGTTG